AGCTGTTAAAAGCAGAACCACTAAAAAGGATTTTGCCAGTAGATGAGTTCCTTCCTATAATGTTCAACAAACACCCTGTGTAAGTTTTTATCTCAGTAAGGAAAATTACACAGAGATTTACAAAAAATGACTCGACAAGGACAAGTTATTGTTTTATTTACTTTGCCTTTTCATTCACAGCTCTGATTATATGGAGCAGTTTGAAAACAGGGACCTGAAGGCCTTTTCTGCAGAGCCTCTCCTGGTGTACCCAACTCACTATACTGGTGACCCGGGCTACATCAGTGACACTGAAACCTCCACTGTCTGGGACAATGAAAAGGTCCGGACAGACTGGGACAGAGAAGCGCGCTCCGGAAAAACTCAGGAACAGACTGAGATCAGCCGTGAGGCCCAAAACACGGATGTACTTCAGTCCCCTTTGGACAGTACAGCTCGGGACGAGCTTTGAGTAAAGCTGAGTGGGGGCTTGAGATTTAAAGATGCAAGTAGCTAACCCTAAATATTTTTTTTTCTAAGCAGGGATAAACTTTAAACTTTGATATCAAAGTTTAAGGAAGGATCAGATTTGACAGATGTGACAAGTTAAAAAGGGATCATCAATAACTTATGTTTTATACCTTGATATTATTGTTATTGGGAACTAGACTTGCCATTGTCAATGGCATTTGCAGTACTCACATTCTGTCTGTCATACAGAAATGACCAGCAAATGAAATTAAATTGGTTTATCCCAAACGTTTTAAGCAAACTTACTTTACGTTACACATCAAAATGTTTATTTTCCAAATTTCCTAAGAGTGCAGTTTAATAAAAGAAAAAAACTGTCTCAAAATACACTCTAATTTCAAATCAACTTTTGTTTCTAGCTTTTATTTTAAAACAATTTTTTTGTAGCTTTCTTTTTTTAGTAAAGCCCTTTTAAATAAAATGTGAACTTTTATATGAGAAGCATACAGATAAATGTTCCACCTGTTGTGTTTCAATAAAAATCATTCACCGATTTACTTTGTAGAAACATGTCAGTGGTTTACTGTTCTAAGAAAAGAAAATTAAAAGTTTGTTTGAAAAAAATTATCTTTGTGACTATTTTTCATAATAGTATATATTTCTATACAATATTAAGAGTTTCTATCTATTCTGTGTCCATTTCAGTGCATGTAGGCTGTGATAAAATGTTTTATAAGACTTGCCACAGCTGCAGTATCTGTTTTCCGTGACCCTAATAGATCTTTTGCACTAGGTTCAATCTTCACATCCTGTTTTTTTTTTTTTTTGTCATCAAGTATAGAGAACATAGATTAAGTGCTAGTTGAGATGTACCAGCTTAATATGTTATGTTCTTAAGTTACATCCCCTGGTTTAAGAAGTCTGCAAACTTTCAAACTAAGACAACTAAAACTTTGCACAGTGGCACCTTCTCACTATATGTGGTGAGATAATGTGGGTGGGTCCTACCGTGACACAGAGATATACTTCCTCTTCCCCTCATGGTGAAAACATTGGCCATCCTCCATTCTACTTCTTCTTGATCTTTTGATAGATTTAACGGCAGCAACGTCAGTGTTGTTTGCTGATGGTTTTCTACTAGTGTATCTCAGTTTCCTGGGAGGAGAGTACACATTCGACCATTGCAACCCATCGTTTTTATCATATATTGTTGAGTAAAGGCAGGTGCAATGATGTGTAAGTGTATGTGTTAGTGTCTGGCTAGTATGCGGAAGGCAAGGAGAAATGGAAGAAGGAGTGTTAAATAAGGATTCTTCTCAAGTGACAGGTGAGAATGCTGTGGAAGTTTGCTTTGGCAATCTCTTGTTCATGTTTAATTTGCTGTCTAAATCTCTTACAAATCTTTATTTTTGACTACTTGCCTAAAATATCAAATTAAATCACTGGTGGACTAAAATTCAGCAAATTCATACTGGATTTATCTGAAATTTGCTGACCTTGCAGTGGTGCTGCACAGACTTTGCATGTGGGTGCATGCACATGGTGCATGCAGAGTGGGCCTGTAAATGACTGTTAGGGAGGTGGTGGTGCTTTGAGGCTTTCTGCTCATCATACAAGGGTATTGAACTTCCTGAACTCTTCCTTCGTCACATTTTACTTCTGTCTTTTTTTTTTTTCTTTTTTTTTAAATTCTGAATTTTAATTGAACAGGATGTGGTTGCTACAGTACAGTACAATAAGATTAGAACTGATGGAAGAGTTTGCAGAAATTCTCCAAAATATGCCCCAAATGTAATCATGTTAAAATTGTATGAAGCTGTATAAAATCGTGAATATACCAACAAACAAGAACCGTTTTTTTCTTCAGTTTATGGCAGTTTGAGTTTTGAACTTTGCTGAAATAGCTTTCTTACTCTCAGTTCTCATTCTGTCACTCAAATGCTACTGGTGTGAAAAACAAGGACTCTGTGCATTATGGGACGTGACACAAATTGCGAGCAGGATGTGGTTGACCAAGATGGAGGCACCTCTAAGGGAGGGAGATTTCTTTAACTTAGTTGCTGCTTGTTTTCTAATTTATCGGAGTAGAAGCTATTGTTATAACAGGAGAGGAGACACCAGCTGACCAGCATTAGTACAACAGTTTTAGCTTTACTTTTGCAAAATGCAAACTTTCAGTATGCAATGTATATTCCGCTTTCCGTCGATTAAAAGAAGTGTCATTCTCAGAGATATTCAGGAAATATTGTCATTTAGTCGAAAAGAGGATCTCAGTTTGATTCTTTTTTTAATTCACTGAATAATCCTAATATGCTTTATTTTTTTGTATGCATAAGTGATTGTCTTTGTATTTTAGTTAACTTTTTTTCAGACAATTGACCTACATTTGGAACTTTTGTGAAAATAAAAAACCGTGATATTGGGATTATACACCTAAATGTGTTTGTTCATATGTGTTAAAATCTGATTTATTTCACCTTTTTATTCTTTGTGTTCTGTAAAAAACGTTTTGTTCAAGTAAGACGTGACATGAAGAAAGATCATCTTATATCCTAGGGTTTTCCTTTTTAATTTCAGAGGGGAGGAAGGTGCCTCATAAGTCTGAAACCAAACGATACAGTGAGATCTTCAGGGATTTTGATAACCTTGAACTGTCTTTAATATCCTCGTAAGTATTATAAATATACAAAATGTTGAGCTGGTAATGTGTGCTTCTTCTTTTACATCTGTTATGAAAAAAAAATTAGAAAAAGGTTTACATCTAACAGAACTGGTTTGAATGTTCTATATATATTCATATTAATTTTTAATTTTAGTGGTTTACTAATAGCGGTTTACTAATCCCACATTTAAATTCTTACTTTCGGATCAACTCTGAAAAAGGTTCCTCTAGTGTAATGACTGTTCCTAAATGTCAGAAATTCCTTTTATAGAAAAGGATAACAGGAACCGATATAGAAATGTGGTTGGATACGGGTATAAAAATGATAAAATTATATAAAACTTAACTTTAGCTTTAAAAACAATGTATTTCTTCACCATCTCTTCGGTTTTAATGTATTTCTATTTTATTGTGCATTTTATTTCTCCTAATACATTCACTCTTGTGTTCAGGGAAGCGGAGGATCTGCTAATAGAACCTCAGTTTATCTCAGAAATCAACTCCGGAGAATGTTCAGAGACCACAGAGCAAATTGATGAACATGTAAGGTTTCCTTATCGTAAAACTGAAATTATGTAATTCCTTGGCTTTAATCAAAATTGCTGATTACGCTAACTACAGAAAGCAAGTGAAAGTCTTTTACAATCACGTCTCTACTTATACTTGTATATCATAAGCTTCTCGTTCCTCTGTGATGTAAGCATTTTTTTTTTTTTTCAAAGATTGCTGCTGAGGCCGGTGAAGGCGATGGAAACCAAACAGGTAGGATTCCTTCCTCAGACCGAAGCACAGGGTAAACAAGTAAAGAGTTGTAGAGAACAATATATTGACCCTGTGCTGTGTCAGCGTCACGTCTAGCTCGAATAAACTTTGAGCAGGTGATGAGTAGGTATCCTGTACAACAACATCTATTAGAACATGGTTTCAGGGCTTAAGGTCCCAGGTATAATCACCTCTTCAGCTACCATAGACCATCATGTCATTGTTTCTTACGACCAGCTTGAGCTGCTGTCTGCAACACATAGTCTATTTTAGACTTTGTTATATCCTTACACTTAGCTGTAAGTTACAGTTAACCTGTTGTAACAAGATTAGGATAAAGGGAGAGGATTTAAGCAGGACACAGATGCTCCAAATTTAATGCATGAGTGGGGGCAATAGAATAAATTAAGAAGAGATGTCAGCTCTACAACATTCTAATGACAAAAATAAAAATTAAAACTTAAATAGATAGAAACTACACCCATTGGTAGATTGCCATAGGGTTTGTTGTCCTCCTGTAAGGTTATTTTCTCTCCACAGAGGGACACTGTCACTGACTGAGTGATCATCTTCCTCACTAGGACCGATCGCTTAGTTTAGACAACAAGCCTCAAAGATGATTTGTAAAAACAGTATCCACCTCAGCTCAATTTCAAGCTTCAATGCAAAGACTTTGGATATTTACCTAATTGGTTTCCTAGTGTTCTATTTGCTATAGGCTTGCAACAATCTAAAAAAAAAAAAATCCATGTCTCATAACATTTGGAATAAGGCTGCAACATAATTAAAATTACTGTCTGGATGCACTGCACCAACGGCAGCAGCCCATAAAACTGCTGAGCGCATAAATAAGGATTTTATTGCTGCTATACCAGATTTTTTTTTAATCCATATTAAAGAGGCAATAAATACATTTTAATTTCTAAATTCAAATTATTTAAAATCTAAATCTGACTGAAGTTAGAAATTTGAACTGAAAAGAGAAAAAAGGGGGAGGGGGGGAATAATCAAACTTCTAATCTTGTGCCTCCAGCAGCTCCTCCCCCACCCTGTCTTATCCCTGAAGCTCAATCAACACTCCAGGAGGTAAAGTCAGTAAAGTCTTTCACTCGGCAAGCTGGACTAACCAGGATAATCCTAGATCCATGCATCAAGGGCTGAAGCCATTTGCTAGCATAGAATTACAAATGGAGTGATTTGTTTTTTTCTTTCATGGGAGCTCTTTCTGTCCATCAACATTGACAAGAATTTCAAAATTGTCATTAAGAACACATCCTCAGGCTATGTATCCTTTCCCTATTTTGGATTATTTTGTAAAGCTTTATCAACAGGGAGAGGAAAAAAAGTTGGATTTTTTTTTTTTATCTTTTGTTGGATTCAGTTTCTGCATCAAAACCTGGGGACAATAAAAATGACATGTCTGAGTGAGGAGCTTCTGAGATAAGTTACAGCCCTCTTTTAGACGCCTTTTGCGTGTTGCTGACGCGTGGAAAGATTACATGCTTTTAGTGAAGATAGTTGATTTTTTTTTTTATATTATACTAAATTTAAATGCAGTGAAAACGATGAAAATAGAATGTTCTGTGCAGAGCTTTTTAAAGAGCATGTGACTGTAAAACAGACATCATCCAGCCAGTGGTGAAATGAGTCAGAGAGGAAGAAGTCACAGAGGTTGGCAAATGAACAGCCAGCCAGCCTGACCACAGAAGAGTTGTGACATGGTGGTGTCTGACTGCGCCCACCCTGCCTCTGTCATGTTGTTCTGATCAGAAGTGAACAGGTGTGAGTGGGAGGGGCCATGCAAAGAGAGGAACAGTGGAGAGGAGGGAAGTTATTTTGCTAGAGCTGTTCGCTTGCGGTCATAGAAACCTTCTATCAATAGATATCCCTATTATCTTTGCAGCCACCTAAAATATACATGAACTGTACAGGCATGTTCACATTCTGCTGAGACCACCTGGAACCAACAATTTACTCTGAGGAACAGCTATGGCTTTCCAGATGCAATCAATTTTTCCTGTTCTGGGTTTGTGTTCCTTTTTAAAGCTTTGTTTGCTTTTTATTGGCTTTATATTGTGTGATATTAGGATCTTTGGGTTGAAACTCTGGAACTGATAGGGTCCTCTTTGAAGCTGGGCTGGTGGTAGATTAAGTCCTCCAAAAAAGAAAAGCTTTTGGGTGTAGCCCTACGGACCCAGTGTCATCTCTGGATTCATCTCTAAGTGTACAGAGCCTACAGTGATGCTGATGTACTCCCTCACAGCCCAAGAAGCAGATTTGGCCCTCTTTCGCTGCGAGGATGGAGTGGAGACGGCACTGCAGTATGCCAAGATGTGGTGCCGCTATGCCAAGGACCTTCTTGCCTGGATGGAGAAGAGAATCAGCTTGGGTGAGTTCACCTAAAACTGAAACAAAGAGGTGGCAGAGTAACTTGCAAATGTCTGCAATATCCTACAGGGGGTGTATTAAAAAAAAAAAAAAAAAAGGTAAACAAATGCTGAAATTCAAGAGTTGTTTACAAAATGCAACCCATGAAGGAGGAAGTGGTTTTGGATAATAACTTTTTTGTCTTAAAGTTTTTAGTATTTTTGTTTGCATTTTTTTGTGAGCATGTGTGTTTGACAAAATGTTCAAAACCTATAAAAGTACACATTGTTGTTTTTATAGTTGCATTGCACTATAAAATAAAGAACATAGACATGTATATCCTGTATTTTTATAGGGAAATACTTCCTATTTTGTAAAGATGCACCTACCAAGCTTTTCTGAAGTCTACTCAGTTAGAAACAGAGCGATAAAGGATTAGAGATTAGTGAGAAAGAGAAGGATAATAAAGAAGATGGGGTTCATTCAGAGCACTTAGACACTGATTGCCTTTTCATCAGCCTGAACAGATGCACTCTCCAGAAAGGGATATAAAGATTACAAAACTTGAGGAAATGATCAAAAAGCAGAGTTGCACTAAAAAGCAGTGTCAGATCTTAAGCAGTCTCTTACAAAAAGTGTACTGTAATACTGGGTGGAGCTCAACAAAAAAAACTACGATTTGCACAATTTATAGCAATACTGGGAGCTCTATAGCCCATATTTCATTTGTTGAAATATCAGCAATGGGGATTTTCATTCAGTCATTTGTTGCTCTCTCTTAGGCACCAGATATTTACTAACAGTTACAAACATGCAAACTCGGCACTTGTTTGCATGTTGGACTAATAGATCAGCAGCACTCTCCACAGTTCTGCATGCAGCATTTTAATTTTTTCTATTTCAGTTTTCAAACATATGATATCACTCGTTAACAGTCACCCAGTTTGACAAGGGGCAGCTCAATGTGTGCATAGCTGCTGGACTTCTACAGAAACCGACCACAGATGGTGAGATCAGGTTGATCACATCTGAGCAATTTTGACTTTGGGCACTGGTGCACCGCAGAGTTCACACTCGACTCCTCATTCATACCACAAACACCTTTGTCATGTTTTCTTAATGCAATGCCATCCTGGGAATGATTCATGACAACAATGAGACTCGAGAGAGGCTAAAGCATCTGGTACAATGATGTTCCCATAGCAACTGCAAAAAAAAATTAAAAGAAACAATGTTTCACATCAAGCAATCAAAACAGACTATAGGAACGTTGGAGTTTATTTCTTCTGTAGGTGGTAGTTATTGCCCAAGCAACTTCTCTACCACTCTCAACACACCTGATGTAGTTTGAATGTCGCTCAGTGTAGAGCTTGCAACACACACTCGATGGCAGGAGGACATGGGACTTATGGTTATTGCCTGATACAAATTTTCTTCAGTTTTTCCATTAGCAGATTCTCTTCTAGTCTTTCCTGCCTATTGAGCATTGTGTGTTGACCAGGTGAGATTAATTGAGATGTATGTCTCAAATTTTTTTTTTTAACAGTGCACCCTCTCTAAATTCTCTCCTTTAACTTCACAACTAAGCCAGCTAAACGTCAACACTCTTCCCACTCTGCTCATGCTCCAATAACACAACTTCACTCTGGCTAATGGCTTTTTTACAAAAAGTGAAATGTGTGCAGCAATACCCATAAGGTGTACATTTTAATAGTATTTCATTTTATCAAAATATTAGCTGTTTGTTGACTCTTTATTGCATGCTTAGTTTTATCCTTTTGATAGTTTTATTATTAAGATATTAAGATTATTATTCAGTACTACTTTACTGCAGTTGCTGTTTTATTTTCTTACACGATATTTATTAATTCCCAATATATTTACCTGTTTGTTTGTTAAAATTTTAAAACTTCTAATAACTGCTAAACAGACCCTACTGTATTTGTGTCATAGTAATCAGGAACTGGTTGATAAACCATTAACTAATCGCTACCATAAAACACTTCGATATCAGAGTTTGATGGAGCTCATCGCTGTTTTTTGGATTACTATATTTATTTCTTCTTATCTCTATTTGCAGAAGTGTGGCCGTTCTCATAAAATTTAATCATTAGCTTAATTAGAAAAATGTCCCTAGTAAAAATGAACATTAAGCATGCAGTTGTGAACACAGACATTAGAAATACAGTTTCCATATCATTCAATGTTTTTCACTGACAGAGCAAGAATTTGCGAAAAATGTGATGAAGGCAGCTGAAGGAGCAAAGCTCAACGTGGTACAGCAGGTATGGATTAACTACCTTTGTTAGTAGGTTTTGGAACTTCATATTTTATCTTAAATTCACAATTGCATCATTTGATATCTTTGTTTTTATCTTATCAGCAATTGAAACCCATCTAAAATTTACCTTACCTGTGCAGGAAATGATGCCACTACAGTATATCTACACCATGGCTTTGGAACAAGACATAAAGAATAGTGTGACTGCTAGGAAGACTTCCGAACTCCTGCAAACCCGTTGTTACCAGGTATAGAGGTCTACATTCATACCTCAACGAAAAGTATTTGCTTCAATAAACCATCTTTACATTTTAGAGAAAGTTTGATGTAGCACATTGTTTATGTTATATAGGCTTTAGCTGATAAGAGAACTGAGATCGATAAGTGGCGCCGAGAGTTTAAAGAGCAATGGTCAAGAGCACAAAGAAAGATGGTAAGTGAAACAGGTTTCATATTTACAAATGAGGTAGAATCCTGTTCTGTGCAAGACATGACTTGTCAGACTAGAAATACTGCTAATGCATGTCAGTTTAATGATAATCTTTGTTTTTTATTCTCTTCAATCTTTTTAATAGTGTATTTTTTTGACTGCATACCAGTGTGCAACTTTAGATGCTTTTAAAAAAATTAGTTGATCATTGTGGTTTTAATTTGTATTCTGCATTGCTTCCAGGGCTACTAAATAAAAGTAAATAATACATTTATCACTTTTTCATATGTGTTTAGAATGATGCAGTAGCAGCTCTTAAAAAGGCCAAGCATCAGTACTTCCAGCGGTGTGATGAGCTGGAAAAGGCCAAAGCAATGTCAGCGAAAGCTGTGGATGACACAGTTGGAGTAAAAACACTTGATAAGAGGAGGAAGTCCAAGGATGAAGCCAAGTCAAAGGTTTGTTAGTTTTATTTCATTAACTGCTTTAATGCCTTCCTGAACCAAAAAAAATAATAAATATAGTGTTTATTTTTTAAGCTTTTAATCAATATACTATGATTCCCTGTTAGATAATTTTCCCATCAATTTTTGAACACGAATTGAAAGTTGCAAAGGCAAAAACACACAAAAGATCAGCTCACCAAAGAAAAACAAGGTAATAATACAACAAAAGCGAAATGCTGCAATCACAGAAAAATCGATTGCAGCATAGTGCAGATGCACTGCAAATACAAAACCTGTTGCAATCCAGAGGTGTCAAAAAACCAAAAATAGACACTTTGTTTGTGTGTATTTAAAGCTGATTTTTGATGGACAACTTGATGGGGACATTTAAACCAAAGCAAAAGCTTGTCAGCAAAACCTTCCCAGATTAACGTATGCGACGTTTAGGTCCGTCTGTCTGTGTGAAATAGGCAAATGTACTCGCCTTAATGTTTTGGGTTTATAATAGAGAGATTAAGCAGTTCATTATATTTTTGACCAGCATTATCCATGTGCGTGTCCAGACTCAGCACAGCAGGGCTTTTCGTTTCTACCCAAGATAGCATTTTTTATTCTGACCATATGAAAGGTGGGGAGCAGAAGCTAGAACTTGCCCGGTTTGCATGGAGCCTATATATTATGCGTGCTAGTCTAACTTTTGTCTTGGCAGTACTTTTTATACGGTATTTGCTGAACATTTATGTATTTGCAGCATGTTTTCACTTCTTGGCCACAGTTCAATAATCCTTTTATTTTTTAATAAAGACAGTGGTAATTAAAATTAAGTTTGTATGTTTTTTTTATCCCATAAAAAGTAGCATAAGCTGGCTTTTGACTGTCTACTAACGCTCGGATCTGCTGTCTGTTTCCCTTAGGTGTTTGAGGCTGAGCTTATCTACAGACAGTGTGTGGGTGATGCCAAGTTCACTCAAGAGGAATTAGTGAAGACCAAAGAAAGAATAATTTCTCACATTCGCAAGCTCATCTGTCAGGGAGACACTTTGCTCAAAGAGGTTGGTATTATGTTAAAAGAACAAGTGTTTGTTTTGGGGTTTTTTTTCATTCAGCGTGTGTCTACACAAGCTGTCTTAAAATTAAAGGTATAGTGTTCCTTTTGTGGTTGGATCATCAAAATAAGTGATCCTTCTATTATTCAATCATTCTGGTGATATGTTTACGTGAGGCCATCCTATGTGCTCGTCCCCATTTACACTTACTGGTGGTGAGTCTGACATAGTGGAAAAATTGCAAATCTTTTTTCGAAGATATGTTTTTATGAGCGATGCAAAGAGAAACTTTTAAACAGAGCGTGCCGTGCACAAGGAGAAATGGGCTTGTGTATGCTCTCGCACGCATTTAATAGGCGTTTCCTCTCCGGAGCAGGTACAGGGTTGTGCACGTGCTTTTTTTTAAGTGGAGAGGGTGGGTATTTTCAAAATTTCTTGAAAAATCCTCAATTTCAGGTACCATTTAGAATATTTTGTCTCAATATACTGTATGTCTGTATGATCTACACTTCAGCACTAGGATATTTTATTCATCAAAAACTTGAAATAATGAAAACTAAAGTAATTGCCCAATTACAAAAAAAAATGAGGTAATAATAGAGACATAAAAACTTTTGTAACAGAAAAATCTCCCCTGAAACTGACAGTGACTCTTTGCCACAGGTTACAGTCAACATGTTCTTCTTTCAACGGCAGCAGACAGAGCCCATGCCTCTTGGTTATCAAAACCTTGAGTTGACTTGCAGAAACGTGGAGCCTGGAGAGCCCTATCTGCTTTATGTCCTCAGCAGGCGTCGCCCTGAGCAAACTCTCCAAACCTTCATCTTTCAGGATTACACACCTCAGGGCAAAAGGTAAAGATCAAACCTCAAGTCAATCTGAGCTTTAGGTTTGGACAATGTTTTATATCTGCTAGATTTACATATCTATTTGTCCTACTTTAAAAAAAAAATTACCTTTTTTTAAAGCAACAAAAGAAAAACAAGCAACATTCTCAGCCCGCTGCAGGACTCTTTACCTAACATAGAGGATAGCCCTTTAAAACGATCCATTGATGGCAGTAAGTGCTCCAAAATATTACGTCATAACAGTTTTAAAATAAAAACAACAATTTTTATAGTTTAACTTTTATTTTGATGCACTTTAGGGAAAACAGGGCACAGTGACAGTGAGAGTATTGGAGGCAGTTTGGAATCCCTTTCGAGTCCTGGTAAGAACAAACCCTCATTTGTTCCTTTTGCTAAATATTTGCATAAAACTGAAAACTTTTTAGAGAGCATAATGTTTCCTGTTTCTTTTTTTTTTTGGTTTGTTTAAGCTAACAGAAGACTGCCCAAAACAGGATCTACTTTGACAGTGTCATCAGATGATCTGGATGAGCGGGACATTTCAGAATTAGGTTGGTTTTCTTGCTGCGCATATTTGTGTCATTCGTGACAGTAGTGACATTAAACGTCATTAAACTGTCTTATTTCCATTGTCCACAGAGTATGCTGATGGCCCGTCTGTAAAAACACGAATGTTTTCTCGAGCTGCACTGACGCATCGGCTCAAAAAAATGAAAGGCAAAATGATGAAATGCAAGCAGTGTGATAACTACGTTGTTGTCAGTGGGGTTGAATGTGAGGAGGTATGAAGCCATGTCTGAAAGATAAACTGGAACCATGTATACTATTATGGACAAAAACATAAAGAGCATTAAGACACTTAAGAATGGATATAATATAGTTTTTTTTCTTTTTTTGTATGTAAAGTGTGGGCTAGCTTTTCACAGAAAATGCATGGAGGTTTGCCAGCTGGAATGTGAGCAAAGGAAGGGCACTGTATTTGGTGTGGACCTCTCAGTGATTTTACAAGACAGGCCAGATGAGGTGCCGTTTGTTGTCCGATGCTGCACATCTGAGATTGAGAGTCGTGCTCTCTCTGTTCAGGTATTAACCTACCATCTTCACAAAGATAAACCCAGAAGATGCAGCTTCTGAAGTTGTGACGTGTTGTTTAATAATTGATCCATATCGTTGATTCTAAGGGTGTGTATCGTGTCAGTGGGTCCAAACCTCGCATTCAGAAGCTCTGTCAGACCTTTGAAACTCAAAAGGACCAGGTGGACCTCTCTGATCTCTCGCCACATGACATAACATCTATCCTGAAACACTTCTTCAAGGAGGTACTTCTATGTGTTCAATACAAATGTTTCTATTTATAATTTGCTTTAAAACATTTGAATTGTCTAATAGAGCATTCATTGTCAGCAGCAGTTTGTTCTCCTTTTAGAAAGTAATGATTTCACTACTGTGCCTTCTAGCTTCCAGAGCCTTTACTAACCTTTGACCTCTACAATGAATTCATTGGGGTGGGAAAGGCCATTCAGCATCTAAGTGAAAGAGAAACTTCACCAGATTCCAATGATATATTGGAGAATATTCACAAAATACAAAAGCTTCTGAAAAAGCTTCCTTCACATTGTTACAAGACCCTGCAGCATCTTATTTCCCATCTGCAAAAGTAAACATAAAGCATACACTAAATATCTTTATTACCACTTAAACCTAATTCTAGTCCATTTTTTCATGTAAGTACTTATACGTATCAATGTCTTTGACTCCGCAGAGTATCAGAGAACTATGATAACAAGATGTCCCCTAGCAATCTGGGTATTGTGTTTGGACCGACATTATTGCGCCCTCTAGTGTCTACGGACATGTCAATGCTTGCTCTTTTGGAGACAAGCTACCAGTCTTTGCTGGTAGAGTTCCTCATCACACATCATGACAGGATTTTTGGAGTTGAGCAGAGCATAAACACGCCCCCTCCCCCAGCCCCCACAGCACCTCTCCCAGAAACACCTCCCAGAGCTTCCTGTCCCCTGGATGGAGATGATGCAGACTTGGAAGAAGAGACGTCCTCCAGAGAGCGTCCACAGTCTCTAGAAGTAGGTACCGTGGTTTTAAAAGGAAAAGTCACATTTGCCTGGCATCTGCAGGTTTTGATCAGCTGCAGCACATTAACCTTTGGCTTATTTGCTTAAGATTTGACAGGAAAGCTGCACATCTGCTGAATTTCTGCTTTCTACTCTGCCCTGCATGAAGTCCTTTCAGATTTTATTTTCTTTATATTGCTAACTTAACTTTTAAATGTAAAACCTACCGGGGTATGTTCATAATTTCAAATGGCTCGATGAAATAATTCAAAGTCAAATAGAATTGCAAGAATAATAAAATTTAGAGTAATAGCTCAAAATTACTATACTTAATGTAGTGATTGGCTCCTTTAGAGACAATTATACTGTAGTACATCCAGATTAGAAGTGATCAGGAAAACTTCCCAGAAACCCAATTCAACTTGTATCATTCCAACAGAGCCAAGTTATCAAGAGAGACTCAAGCGAAGGTTATATATCTGACAAGTCTTCATCCAATGAGGCAGTGGACCAGCTGGGCCCTGAAGCCAATGAGAGCGCAGGTAGGCAGATATGTGGGGCAGGAAAATGCTCCTCATGGATACACCCAGTCAAGATCATATATATTAAATTAATTTTGGCATTTCCAGTTGCCAGTGTAGCTGAATAGATTACATGCTTTTATTAATAAATTTATAATTTAATAAAGGCATAATTTAACTAATACATCCACAGATGTTAAAGCTGAGCTACAGACTATTTTTCTTGCCTCTTGAAGCTGGGGGCTTATACTCCCACAAGTTCTGTAGTCAAACTTTTTTTTAGTTCATTTCCTCTAGTTTTTTAGCTAATTTCCTCTTGTTATTTTAAGAGCCTAGACTTCCCCTTGGTGGTAAGTGGTTTTGCTAACCAGATAAGCATAGGCATTTCTTAAGATTTATTTCATTTTACCATTTTAATAGATAGTGGATTTAACCAAATGATGATCTATGAAGCGTTTTAATTTTTTATTTTAATAGTAAAAACAATAAAAAACGAAATAAACAAACTTGTCTGTTTCGCTGCACTGCTATCTCAAGCTATTCTTTGCTTGCTTTTCTTTTTCTTTGTTTCTTTGTGCGTTTTTATTCACAAGCAGTTCTAATAAACATTTTTAATCACAACTGATCATGTGCTTATGGCTGAATATACAGCGGATCTCAAATCAGCAGAATGCATGTGTTTAAATATTTCATTTCAGTTTCAAATGGATAAATAAATGAATTAAATATCATTATTTTTACAGTATAGTTTAGAAAAGTATACTCAGGTAAGGTTTGCTAAATTTCCACTTACAATGGATAACTAATGGTGCCTTCATGTGGTCTCGTAATTATGGTAAATACCAAAATGCACATGTACACCCACTCATGTCGTTATTTCCACTTGAAAGCTGGAAAGATTCTGTGATACCAGAGTCGCTGTGATGAGATAAACTTTGACCTTTCAACAGTTCGGAAATCAGATAAATTATTCTGTATGGTGAATACCGCATCGTTAAGCATTCATTCTCTGTTGTGTTTTTATCCTACACGATGCTGTGACATATTTGTTTTGTTAAATATATCATAATTTAAACTTGGGTCGTTGTTTTAGATGACGGTTATTGTTTGATTTTATCAGTTAATCACTAGAAGTAAGTCGATGCATTTGATGCATCCTCTTCTTCCTAAAGCAGATTATTAGTGTATTACTCTATAACTGTTTTTCCCCAAGTAGCAGGTCAGGATAATCTATGCATCCAACATGTTTCTTTTCTCTACCACATCAAAAGCACTTGAACACAATGCACTGGTAATTTCCACTTTACATCTTTATCAGAGCACATGAAGGCAGCATAATTTGTAACTTGTCTCCACATCAGCATACTTTGTAAATCACAGTTATGTTCTTTTTCACCCTAGTCCTGGCTATGAGATCAACAGCATGTGATCCTCAAGGTGAAGCTGCAGGAAAAACATCCTTGGATTCAGGCACACAACCACATCATCGTTTTACAAGACAGCCTGTGAAGTATCACCGGTATCACAATGTAGGAGCTCGATTCTCTAACTCCGACTGTGTAACAAGACAGCCAGCTACTCCAAAGAGGGGCAGTCATCGAAGTGCGTGCAACAGCCGAAGCTCATCTCCGGAGCTCGGATCACAGAGATTTTTACAAAGCCTAGAAGGCCAATTTGAGATAATTCAGCAACCCTACCAGGTTACCACTACAGCAGAGGGTGATGTAAACATTCCACTGAGCCCTCGAGAGGTTGCGCAGTACATGCTGGGAATGGACTCCACTGTTTTATCATCGGCAACTTTAGTTTCATCCACTTCAACTGAGAGGTCACCTCAAGAGGTGACAAGATGGAGTCAAGCTAATCACAATGTAAATTTGAACAACAACAGACACTGTGTTGGAATGAACTGCACTCACTATGCATGCCCGAAAACCCCCTCTGCTGAACGCAACCTGACCTCCCCAGCCCAGAAGATCCTGTCTAGTTTGAAGTTGAGACGCAGTCACTCAGAAAAGGAGGAGCAGCTCTTTGTTTGAGGAAAGTTTACAATTTTAAACACCATCATTTTTTTGCATACACTGAAAGACTGCACTTATTTTACACTGTGTGTAAAAACAGTGACTAAAACAATGAAAAGTAACTACATTCATGTAGTTTTTATAAAGAAAAAAAAAAACATCCCATACTGTGTTTTCTTAACTTTGAATACTTTTTCATTAATTGCAAAAATCTAAAACTATTAGAAAAGTTTTTCTGTTTCAAACTCCTCTTCAAAGCACAGGAAATAAATAAGGTTTCATACTTATTTGGATGTCATACCCTTATTAATACCTCTAAATCATGTTTTTTTTTTTTTTTTACTTTAACTGTCAAGCTTTTGTTAGTGTAATTAAACAATCACATAGTACAAGTTAGTGTTTTTTTCTTCCGTTTTAATAACTCAGTATTTGAATGTAACTGCAGATGCTTGCAATTTCAAAAATGCATACCAGCACAAAAGCATCACGTTTCCTCATGAAAGACTGTAAATGTTTTTTATTGTTTTATTTCTTTGTTTTATATTCAAAAATTTAACCTCCAAATTGCTTTTGTCTACGAAGATAAATATAGCCCTTATTTGTGTTATTTCCATTATTGATAATATCGTTGTTTTGGTTTACTATCGATGCACCTTTCTGTTTTAGACGCAAGGGGGCAGCAGTTTGGTGTGTGATAAAATCATGTCAGAAATCAACAATACAAGGGCAATAAATCCTTTTGTTATTTGCATTCTTTGTTTGTTTTTTTGTTGTTTTTTTTTTTCAATCATTATACCTTTCACACACTGAAAACATACATATTTATTCTGTTACATATGATCGTTTAGATAAATAAGAAAATCAGATTTATTTGTGTATATTTTTCTATTACCGGGTGCAAATTCTTATGTTTCTCTCCTGCATCAGACATTCACCCCAAAATCAAGAGTATTATGTAGAATAAAAGCAACGCAAGAGTTATTTGGCCTGTAATGGATATAAATAAGTCAGTAAAATGTTGCTTTAGTAAGTGATCTATCTAACCCTAAACAAAGATTTAAGAGATTCTCCTCACCTGAGTTATCAATAGATGAGTATTGCTGCTCCTTTCCTCTCATCATCTTCCGCACCTTCTCCCTCCCTCCGTTTCTGTCCATCTCCTCCCTCTGCCTCCTTTTTACGCACAAAACAACCCAGAGCGCGCACACGGCTGTCGGAGAAACCAGGAGACACAATAGACCATATTTTGAGGCATCATGCTGTTGGAATTTCTTCCATAGGCAAACTGTGCGGTAGCTCATGTGGTTGACCCATATGATCGCTTGTGTTCAGTCACATAAGAGCTGGAAGTTTCGCTGGATTTAAATGTTGCCGACCGAGATCTCAGGAGGAGTGTGTTTCACCTCAAGGTAAGACTCTGAAACTCATGAACAGGTTGTCAGAGCAACGCGGTCATGTGCAAAAGTTATACTTGACTGCTTCTTATTCAAAAGTAAACACTCTGTGGGATGTTTTTCTCTAACAATGTACATGTATTAATGACTATGATCTTTTTTTTATTTTAGTAAATTATTCCATAATATTTAGAATGGGAGGGGATGAGGAGTAGAAATGTTTTATATCATTAATGTATTGCAAATCTTTAATTTTGACAATAATTATTTTATGCAGCCAGATAACAGAAGTTGTTTGGTTGTTGTTGTCTTTTTCTTTGTTTGTTTTTCCTGATAGCAATAATAATCAATTCCAGTTTTTAAGTTATTATTTATATTTATACAATATTTATATTTATATATTATTATTTTTATTTTATTACTTTGAACTCTGTTTTAAATTCTGAATTCTTAATGGTTAACATTTCAGACTAACTGCTGCATGGAACTCATTGCATCAATTAGCTGAAGCGTCACAGGAAAAATCCCAAATCAGATTAACTGCATTTACATAATGTATTTTTTGGTTTTGATTACTTTGTTTGACAATAATCTAAATCGCACTCTATCTTTTTTCATTCTGTCTCCGGTTCTGGTTAAAGAAAAAACGCATTAGTGAAATAATCGCTTATCTCTAAGAATTGTAACATCTCAAATTGTTGGAAATTACACATAGAACTTAATCTATGTTTATTCATTTTACCATGCGATGAATTTCACACCATTTTTATCCATTTATTTTAATTCTGACTATGGTTTAAAATCCAAATTAAACAGAGAAATATCCATGTTATTTATTTAGTTTTTACATTTCTCGGGAAGCTTTTGTTTAATTTGTGTTTTTCAAAAAATATCAGTGTAGTAGAATATAATTTTTAAAATATACCGCATTTGTAGTCATTTATAAACTCTATGATGTTTTAACATAATTTAAAATGTTTGATAGAAATGCGCACAGGCCTGCGATTTTCGTTTACATCCTTAGACAATATAAAGACGGGAAAGGAAATCGTTTAATTTGTAACACTTTTTTAAATACTTTTTTTTATTGTTATTAATATTAAATCTAAAGTGTGGCCAATTTTAAAAGTTGCTTAGACAATTCAGGAGTATCCAGCTTAAAATAGGAGTCTAAGGTGGATACTTACCTTAGTGTAGTTTGAAACAAAGTTATCACCTGATGTTTTGGTTTGACTCACATTTTTTCTAACAAATGATTACAATATTTTGTTTTAGTTGCTGCTTTTGTTTCACTTTTTTATCATTAACTTTGCTTCTGCATTTAAAGGCGATAACAAAGACCAACATGTGTTTGCTGATTCCATCTAATGTTTATTATCTATACATCAACAGACAATAGAAAATATATGGAATGAATCTAATTTTTTTCCAGCTTTGGCTCACATGTTCTCCTGCTTTACTTTAAGCATCTGAATGCGTAATTACATGGTTTATTTTCTCTCTAGCGATCACACTGAGGGAAGGAGAGAAGGAATGAAAACTGAGGAAAACCAACAGTCCTGCCTGCAACAGCCTCCGTCCTCCACGCCTTATGGTCAGCTATTTTATTCTTTTTTTTTTTTTTTTTTTTTTTTTTTTTTTTTTTTGGAAAAAGGGATTTTATCAACACTAGCCTCTTTTTCAACGCACGATTATCTAAATTGAAATATTTCAAAAGTTCTATGGAAGAAAAATTCTAATCATGTAAAATAGAATAGATAAATCCCCACCTGCAGGTAAGGTAAACAAATAATAAATAAACGTAAAAATTATTTAATCTAAATTGACCTGTTGAATTTTACATAAAAAGTCTACTAATTTCCTCAGGAAAAAAAATACAAATATTTAATAAAAATTGTATGAGGTGAAATAAGTACCGTCAGTACCCGTTACAAAGGTCTGTTATGTTACCTGTTATGTTACCTTTAGGTCTGGGTTACTCAACTGAACGTTTTAAATAAGATATATATTTAAAAACTGTAACCTATTTGCCTTTGAAATATCAAAAGGGGTTTTCCTTTTTTTTCTTGTCTGAAGAAACAACAGTTGGCTTGCGCCAGATGATAGGCTTAAGCATCTTTTAATTAATTTATTTATATAATAGAACTTGTTTTGGCCTTCTCTCTGTAACTGTGGCTGTGATATGCTTTAACCAGGTCCAGATTTCAGAGGCGGTGGAGAACTTTGCGCGGGCTGCGAGTCTCCCATCGCAGACCGCTTCCTCCTGCGCGTGAACGAGCGCTCCTGGCACGAGACCTGCGTGAAGTGCGCCGTCTGTCTGAGCGCACTTACCGGGACCTGTTACTGCAGGGACCGTCTGCTGTACTGCAAGCATGACTATGAAAAGTAAGAAATATTTACTAACATATTAAGAGAAAAACGAATCAATACAAAAGCCCAGGCATTTCATAAAATAATACTTTTTCAATCATTTATATATATATATATATATATATATAACTTCTAAACATAGACTTATTTTTGTCTAATCTATGTTGTTTCTGTTTAAATCTGGTGCAGATGAGACATACCATCATTCATAAAGAGCTGCTTCTGATTAACATCATGGTGAGATTTGAGGTTAGGTCGTAGGGAGGGTTTAATAAAGGCTGCAGAATCAGTCAGTGCAAAGTTCTAACGTCTACGCAGCTGAACAGGCTGTATAGGAGAAGGAAAGACCAATATAAAATGTTACACTAACCAAAGTGGTTAGGTTGTTGTCTCAATCAATAAAAAAAAAAGAAAGTCTGAATTTTTATCCTCAGTAAAACATATTATTTATAACATAATTTTATGAACAGTAAAAACCTAAACACTCACACAAGGTTTAAAAAAAAAAAGTAAAATCCCATAAGTAAGTCACTCTAGGCCCTCAATCAATAAGCTATTAAAGAATTTTGCAATTCATTAAAATCAAAAGTGATACTTGTGTGTGCAGGCTATATACGAGACTGAACGTTTTGGAACATGATCAAACTTTTCCAGTCTGAGGTTAAAGATTAGGTGCTATGGAAGATAAAATAAAAAACAACATATTTGTCTTTGGAGATCTCAAATAAAAAAAATTTGCTATCATCTCTTCAAGTAAAATAGCTACCTCTTTGTGTCTTAGAATGTGCCTATACAAATCTACCTTCTATTAAATTCATACAATGTTCATCTCATTGTTATTCACAATCTTATTTGCATTGACAACATATAACTACCCCTTTGAATGAAGCACAGTTACTATTATTGTTTTTAATACCATAGTATATAATATTAAAGAAAAAGAAACAGCAGCTGGTCAAAGGGACAGTACGTGCTTATTGTGTGATGATTTACCATATGCTACAAATTTGTGGTCATAATGGGGTTTCTTTCTGTTTTTTGGTCCAGGCTAGTCAATATATGTGCCAGAGTCTGGAATGGACTGCTCAAAGGAAAGCCTGTAGCTTGTTATCATTGTTTTGAAATGTGTCAGACAGTATCCAGCAGTATAGACTCTCCCACTGTACCTGGCATCTGGAGGAGGGAGGGTGAGAAAGAAGAAAATCAAAGCCCCATTGTGTGACGTTCATCTGGAAGAATGAGAGGGAAAATAGTAGGAAAAAATGTCATAATTATGAAAGATGTAATGAAAAGGATGATTAGATTTCCTTTTGTAATGATCCATATCATTAATATGCACTTAATTGTTTTGATATTGTTCCAGTTGTCTATGCATATGCATGGTTGTGTGAGTTTGTGCCAGGCTTGGCACGCAGTAATATCTTTGACCTTCAAGAGATCAACAACAATGCCTCCTTGTTTTCCCTGCAGACTGTCCATCGGCACCATACACTACACACTCCCCCATCTAAAGCAGGTGTGCTCATTTTAACAGCTAAGCATGTGCAGGAATTTGGAATGTGCATAAGAATTTCTTAGGAATTTACACATGAGCAAAAGTTTATTTTTCTTTCAGTTTTTTACCTGAGACCTGATCCTCTAGCTGATGTGGTTGCCAACTTACAAGTCATATTTGCATCCTCGGACTAACATTAGGAGAAATAATCAAAGTATCTTAGAGTGACGCTTATTCATATTAGGTCAGCTTCTTGCAAACCTTTGAACATCTGCTGCTTATATTTTCTATTATATGTTGTCTCGATTGCATGACTGTGCACCAGGAGTGGAGCCAGAAAAATTTCATAGCGGTGGCCAGGCAGGGGCCAGTGTGCACTGAGGGGCGGTTGAAAACTGTCAGGAGCCAAAATCAGTTTAGGGTCAGTCTACAATAATCAAATAGTACCAATAGAAAATTGAAAA